ATTACGTTTTAAAAAGGAAAAAAAAATTAAAGTTATATGAATGCAAAAAAAAAAACTTTAAAAAAATTGGTAAATTAGAAATAATAAAAACGTATTCACGTAATATGTTTTTATGTGAAAATTACATTGACCGTATTCCTGAAATACGTTTTTTATAAAATCAATTTTAACCTAAATCAATTTCATTAAAAACGTATTTTGGAAATACGTTTTATGAGAAAACATTAATTCCTAAATCATAAAATCGATCGATTTTACCTTAAAATCAATTTGGGGCAACTCAATTTAGATAAACACATATTTGAAAAATACGGTTTTAGCAAAATTATGTAAAGTAAACGTATTTGTAAAATACGTTTTCTAAGTGAAAAAATACGGTTTTAACAATTGAAAAAAAAACCTATTAGAGATCATTTCACAACCAAATATACATGTTCGAGCAATTAATATTAACATATTCGCTCAATAATAATCCAACATACACTATAAACAAACAAATGAAACACATTAATTTGTTGAACAAACAATATATACAAAATGATATATTTCGATTTATACAGACAATCCAACAATTCAAAATGCACACAAAATCTACGAATTCAACAAAACTAACTAGGAAGTAGTGTATGGATTCTTAGGCCTGCGCAGTCTGGACCCCTTCCGAGTATATACCATGTGAGAAGAAGACGAAGGTTGAGGTTTGAGAAGCGTGTCAGTTGAAAAGCTTGCGCATTTTCATCTTCTTCATTTGAGTAATTCAATTGAAAAAAAAAATCATAATTTGGACTGGAAAAAAAAGAAATTGCTAATTTAAAAGTCTCACCTTGTTGAGGCTCGGGCTGCTCAGGTTGGAGGTGCTGGGCGGACGGCTGAGCGCGGGGACGAGCCCGAGGTCTTCTACCCCCCACCAATGTTGGGGGCGAGTTGATGCGTGGTCGTGTGTGACTCTGTCCTCATGGGGCGAATGTATTCGTTCTGGGAGGAAACTTGACTGGACGGCCCCCCATGTGGAACACGCTGGCCCCCAACAGTCAGAGAAGAGAAGGCAAATTTGTATGACTGTTGGAAGCCGGTCTTTGCTTTTGGAGCGATATGAGTCATTAATGGTTGAATATCGGATAATGCGCCATAAACCCCTTGTAGTGCAGAAGTCTGTAAATAAAATTCGTAATAATTAGTATAAAACACCAAAAAAAAATAAAAAAAATAATAAACACAAATAATGAACACTTACCTGACAGCCTAACCGCTCGGCAAGTGGCTGATACCCGCCCGCCTGTTGGAACACCTTGGCAGGGTTATTGATGAATCTCAAAGTCCTGCTGTGAAACCATTCAAGGTAACCCTCCTACGGCTGCAGATATTCGTACACAGGGGCAACTGGGAGGAGACGTTGTTCTCTTTCTTCGGTCCACGAGCTCAGAAATGGTACATGGAATGCGGCCCAATCATAAAATGCCCTCCCAGTCATCCTTGACCTCTTTGGTTTGTGTCCCAGTCTCGCTCATCCCGAATGACCAGATTTTGGGGGATGGACTGGCGACACCCAAATTGACGGAGGACCCTATCAGGAAGGTGTATCTCCCGGGTGTTCCAAATGAAGATCCACCCCCGGTACATCCAAAATTGTGGATCTTTTGAGCACGCATCCGGGAGAGTATCATCCTCCAGGTGGTTTTGATAGGACTGCCAATCGAACTGTAAAAAAAACAATTGAATTAATAATTAAGTTATTACAAAATTAAAAACAAAACAAAAAAGATAAATAAAGCAATAGGAATTAAGAATATTACATTACTCTCTCCCATCCCTGTCAACTGATCCTGGTAGGCGACCAATGTATTGGCTATGTTTGACTACTTTTTCGATCACACCCACCTTAAAAATAACAGAAAAAAAGCTTGTAATCACAAAATTTAATAATGAAAATAATGTACGAATTAAATAAAAATAAAGGTGAGTACCTCGCTCCCAATGGACAATCAGACAGAGTATCAAACCTACTGGTCTTCACTATTGGGCGAATACGAGGAATATGCTCCCATGCCCAAACCTACATAAATGGACATTAATTTTGTTATTAGTTATTAGTCGAAGTAAGAAAAAATAAAATATTAAATTTTCAAATAACAATTAAATAAATTTACGTAGATCAATTGAACGCAGTTCTTGATCCACTTCTTCTTGGCCTTGTACGAGGTTGACAACACTCTATATACTCCAGCCAGGAGCGCTGAACCCCAACTGTACCTCTTAATAGCATCTGTCCTCCAGCAGCTGGAGCCAGTAAAGTGGGACGCCATTTTCCTGATGGTCGGGGAAGATGAAGGACCCAACGCACCATAAGATAAGGGCACTCGCCCTTCGCTCGTACACGATGTCCGGTTCTTCTTCTTGCAACACACGGTTGCATTCCGCCTCTAACCCTCCATCATTCATATACTGGCCTTTAGTGTCCCAAGACTTTGGATCCTGTGCTGCTTGCTCTGCCTCGGTGGTTGGAGGATCCTGAGAGTGGTTTTTCTATATTAAAAATGATAAAATTGAGTTAATTATATTTAAAAAAAAAATCTATGAAAAAATATACATGAACATTGGGCTCAAACCCTAGCAAGTCCTTGCACCTCTCTCATCACTATAGGGGTGATAGATCTCTAGTCACTCCCACAACAGCAGCTCCAGTGATTGGCAGACCGAACAGGACTTGTACGTCCTGGAGCGTGATGGTGGCCTCGCCGAAATGGAAATGGAACGTATTCGTCTCTGGGCGCCACCTCTCCATGAGAGCAGTAATGAGGTTGTTATCGGCTTGGATTCGACCCTTTCGAATAAAGGGTCTGAAACCAGTCGGGTCGATGACCTCCCAAACCGACCGTGGCTGGCTTGACAAAGCCTCCCAGAACTGACCGTCGAAACGGCGGTTTTTGAGCATCGTGTCACGAGCTCCCCGCGCATTATCAAGTACCGCCTGTGATCGGTGGCGGTACTGGAGATATAGAAGAGTGACATCTCTCGCACCGGGATGGACACTTGTTGCTGAGGCTGTGAGGAGGACGATGAAGCCATTTATCTACAAACAATACAAAAAAAAAAAATGTATTAAGGTTATTTAATAAATTAATGATAGTCTGATGTTTAATTATGAATTCTAAATAAATTAGAAGGTGTGAAAGAAAATTCTTTATTAAAAATTTAAATAAAGAGGACGTATTGTCATTAATTAGTAAAAATTAGAGTTTACAATTATCAGTAGTGATCAAGAACGGGATTATCGTACGGGATTATCAATAGTGATCAAGAACAATGGTAATATATTGTTTACAATTTAGATGCTAATAACATTAATAAAAACACTTCACAACAATAGCCAAAAACCAAGTATTTGAACATATGTCCAAGGCAAAAACATTAGAGTATCGAGTCCACAACTTCACAATTTGAAGTTCAGATTGGAGTCCTAATTCCGAAAAATTGAAGTTCACACAATAGTTCACAATTTTATAATTTCAACAACATTAGAGTTTCGAGTCCTAATTCGAAGTTCTAATTCCAAACCCTAATTTCCTATTTCCGAAAATTCCCTACACCCTAATTGCAAGCCTCATTCAAACAATAGTTTAAATCAAGCCCTAATTCTAACCCTAAATGTAACCCTAACTTTAAAACATCAAATTTTCAAGCAACCTAACCTAAAAACGTATTATGAAAATTCGTATTTGTTGAAAAATTTGAAAAAATTTTAGGCCATTTACCTAATTGACGAAGATATTTGCAGTTGAAGGTGGCGAGACGGCGGTGGCGCGGCGCCGGTAGCAATTCGCTGAGGGGGCGGATTTTTTTTGGCTCTGTTGCTCGAGGGTTGT